TTTTATGGTCCTGCTACTTTTGTTGAATGATGACCAGCTTAAGAGCATTTTTACCACATTCCACACTTCACCTGAATGAAATATTTGTCACATACCTCCACCTGACTACAGGATTCCCTTGTTATGAGCACAAGATTTTTACTTCACAATTAAGGACAATATTGCACTTACACTGGAAGTTTTTATTAATTTATTGAAATTAATTTATTCATTTGATTGCTTATAAGTTTATTTTATGCACATTGTTTTATCATTTATAACTTGGTTTATATGCACTTGACACTTTACGTAATTTTACATCTCCATCATTTGCATCATTATTGGTTGTATTCACAGTGCTGCACTCTTTCATCACATATGCTATTTAACCACTTTTCCTCCAGAGGATTTACCCCCTTAATGACCAGGCCTCTTTTTGCTACTCGGCGCTGCACTAATTCAACTGATAATTGCGCGGTCATGCAATGTCGCTTCCAAACGAAATTTACGTCCTTTTTTTCACACAAATAGAGCTTTCTTTCAGTGGTATTTGATCACCTGTGCGCTTTTTATTTTTCATGCTATAAACAAAAAAAGACCAAAAATTTTTAAGAAGAAAAAACGATATTTTTTACTTTCAGCTATATAAAATATATAGTAAACACAAAGTTGGTTATAAATTTAGGGCAAAATGTATTCTGCTACGTTTTTGGTAAAAAAAATCCCAATAAGTGTATATTGATTGCTTTGTGTGAAAGTTATAGCGTCTACAAACTATGGTATAGATACTGCAATTTACACCATTTTTTTGCTATACAGCGCTGCGCTAGTTTAACGGACAATTGCGCGGTCATGCAATACGGTACATGAAATTTACATCCCTTTTTTTCCCCACAAATTGAGCTTTCTTTCGGTGGTATTTGATCGCCTATGCGTTCTTTTTTTTTTTTTTTTGCGCTATAAAAAAAAGTCTGACAATTTTGAGGAAAAAAAAAACAATATTTTGGACTTTTTGCTATAAAACATGTCCAGTAAAAAAAAATTAAAAAATCAAATTTAGTCATAAATTTCTGCCAAAATGCATTCTGCGACATGTCTTTGCTACAAAAAAACCCAATACGTGTAAATTAATTGGTTTACGTGAAAGTTATAGCGTTTACAAATGGCGGGAAAGATACTGGGATTTTAAATTTTTTTTAATACTAATAATGGCGGCGATCAGCGACTTTTGGCGGCGATCAGTGACTTATGGCAGCGATTAGCGACTTATGGCGGGACTGCGGCGGACATTCTGACACTGGGGGGGAACTGACTTGGGGTCACTGACATCCCCAGTGACACCAATACAGTGATCAGTGCAGAAAAAAAAAATATTGACACTGTACTAATGTCACTGGGGAGGAAGGGGTTAACTTTATTATGCAGTGAAAGGGTTAACTGTGTGAGGGGAGTGTTTTACTAGGGGGCGGGGGTGTGTACTGCAGGGAATACCGCTGATCGGGACAGATAAACTCTTCTGTCCCGATTAGCGTGTCAGGAGCTGTTAGGGAACTGACAGAAAGCACAGCTACTGCAGCTGTGCTTTCTGTCACTGATTGCCGCTAATCGCCGGGACATAGCCGATAACGACCGGCTGTGACCCAGCGAATGACATCTGCGGCTGTTATCGGGCGGGACTGGTAGGGCGGCGGCACGCCTCACGCAAGCCCCCTACCTGTTTTAAAAACACACGTTTTAGAACGTGGTTTTGCTCAGCCGTGCCGCCCTGCCTCCGTATTTCTACAGTGGCTGGGCGGCATGTGGTTAAAGGTTACAGGTTCCTTGTTTGTGCAATTGGCTGCTGTACGATTTTTAAGCGCTCGCTGATCTTTTTTACATATGACATCTAGATACCTAAATGCATTGAGTTGCTGCCATGTGATTGACTGAATAGCAATTTGTGTTACCAAGCAAATGAACAGTTGTACCTAATAAAGTGGTCAGTGAGTGTATATTGATGCCTAAAGTGGTAGTAAAGTTGTCTCTTCCACTTGTACTTACAGGTAAGCCTATAATAAGGCTTACCTGTAGGTACTGTAAATATCTCCTAAATGTGCACCATTTACGAGTTATTTACTGGCAAAGGACACCGGCGCATGCGCTCTGAAGGAAAGGCATGCCCATGCCGTTCCTTCAGAGCTGAGTGCAATGAAAAGTGACTCCCACTCGCATGCGCAGGAGTGATATCGTCGCTACTCGGCCATGCATGCTGCCGGAGCCTACAAACACAGAAGAAGGACTGGGTAAAGATGGAAGCCACACAGCACGCCACAGGAGGTCTTTGTTGTAAGGTAAGTTTCACATAATCTGCTAGTTTTCCAGGGAGACATATGAAAATCTATCAGGGGCCAAAAAAAGTTAGAGAATAGGAAAAATAATCACATCGAAGTGCATTTCCACAAAATTTATAACTGAACACTTCCTCATATGTGGAACTGAATTTGAAATCTAATTGGTGGGTGTGGTTAAATGCATACCAAGGCGTCTTGCACTGTTATTACAGTGGGATTCCAGGTTAGTAGAATGATTCAGTACAATAAAAGTGTGCCAGCCACTGATCCACTTTTTTTGCTATCAGTAGCCTTCCATCTATACATTACCTTTCTTGCATCCTATTCTGCAGCTATAAAACTTGCTTAAGCCATTTTCTTTTTGACTTACAGTTGGTGATTAAGATATAATAATGTCCATTGAGGTATTTCAGCTGGTGAAATACTTGGAATGAAAGCAGAATAGAAACTTTGGTGACTGAGCCGTCTGCCCATTATATGTAAACACTGTGGGGGAACTTGGCTACGGGGAGTGATAACATGAGAGTGTGCATTCTGCTTCATTATAATTATATTATTATTATCTTATTTAATTATCTTTTAATTATTGCAATGTTCAAGAGGAGTTTCTAAATCTTCAGATAATCTACATAATCCCCTCGCAGTAAGTCCTGAGCCACTTTTGTGTAGTCTGTTTCTGTTCCATTTAGATCTATTTTGTTGGGACTCCTACACATGCAGGTGTTAGATGCATTATTTTCCAATTTCCTAGGTGTTGGTGAAAGCCCGTGTGTTTTTTAATCCTGTTTTAAAAAAGCAGTTACAATGGAACTCCAATAAGTTATAATTGTTATTGCTGAATTGGAAGGAGTTGGGAACTGTTTGTGTACTACGTTTCAAAGCAAGTGTTTAGTCAATGTTTTATTTAGGTTGAATTCACACTGATTTGCAGTAAAATGCAAGGAAAATAAATGTACATTTCCATACATTTTATGCAAGTTTTAACATGCATTGACTTGTGTTATTCTGCATTTTAGTGCACTTATAAAATGCAGGTTAGCACATAGACACATAAAAAACAATTGTCCTGTGTCCTGTTCACACTACAACACTGGGTTGACTTGCGTTGTGTTGCATTTTAACACAATGCAATGCAGGTCAACTCAGCATAAAAAGCTACTGACCCTTTTCTTTCCCAACATAACTGAACTAATGTGCATAAAATCAGGCCCATAAAGACTTAAGATGCCCACACATGGCTCATTTTTTTTTCTTTCAGTCAGCCAGCTGAATGAAAAACAAACACCAATTTGGCCATCCACATATTTGAGGTAGATGGGGAAAACCTCCCTGCTGTCTTTGTATTCTGACGGCGGGACTCCCCTACCATCAGAATACACTGACCAGTACTGCAACCCATTGGCTGCATATGCTGATCAAATGCTGGTTTTCCAGCAGGAGCATTTGACAGAAGCCGGACTTAATTGAAATTCATCTGGTTCCTGCTGAACTGGCCAAAGTTCAGTCCATGTTTGGCCATCTATAGTATGACGAATTTGGTGTGGAATTTGAATGGCCTGAAGATAGCCTTGACCTCAGCCCTACTGAACACCTTTGGGATGAATGGGAACACAGATTGTAAACCAGGTCTTTTCATTCAACATCAGTACCTGACCTCACAAATTTTCTTATGGCATACCCATGGTTTTGTAATCGGATGCTCAACACGCTCATGTGAGTGTGATGTCCGGTATCCACCATCCTATGGAAATAAAGTGTAGTTTTTGGTAAGTAATGCCATAATATATGGGACAGGATGTAAGAGAAATGTCTCAAAAGTGAAGGCACTTACAAATTGTAAACCTAATGTGGCAACAGAAAACAAGAAAAAACTTTTTTTTAACCACTTCCCTTCCGGGCCATGTATATAAACGGCCGGACGGGAGCAGTGCGGGTGGCCGTTTACAAACATCCCCCTGCCTGTGCGTGCTCCCTAGCAGTGTGCGGCACTGCGATCTGATGCCTGCTACATGTGACAAGCTGTGACCAATCACAGCTCGCACAGTATTTCTCAGTGGCTGCAAGAATGCATACAGAGAGAAGGAGAAAGTATTGCTTTTACAGCCTTTATGGGCGTAAAAGCAATCCGTGTAAATCCGTGATCTTTCTCTGCTGTAGTTTTACTTTTACTGAGAGGTTTCTCTACTCTTTGGACAGTATAAAGAGAAGCAGCACACCTGAATTGCTCCTTGTTCTGCTTTTCAGAGTCCTGCTGTGCAAAAAGCTGATACTGGATCAAATTAAAGCCCAACTCTGGGCACTAAAGAAAGTTGGACCCCCAAATTGCAAGGATTAAAGGGGAAACCTGTCTAATGCTAATAGATTATCATGCTAATAGATTATCAGCTATCTAACCCTGTAAATAAAAGATCACTATACTTACCTATTCTGAAGCTGCTTTGGTCCAGGCTTCAGCTCTGTTTAGAGAGAGAAAGCTGGCAATGGCTGGGAAATGAATAGGAGTTGACATCACCCATAGACTTACTATGGGGCATCTGTTGTCTGCTGCCTCTGCTCTACGCTGAAGTCACCACTGACAGTTCAGAATGCCTAGAATGCTTGTAGTATATGTTTAATAGCACAAAAATAGTTGTTTGTAACTTTTGATGCAATAAATCTCATGTTTTTAATGCTAATGGTTTTATTTCACAGTGGAACCTAATTAAACATCAAGCCTACAAGGTTAACTTGGCATCATCATTGTTATTTGCCGGTCTCCTCGTTGGGAACATTTTGTTTGGACCATTATCTGATAAACTGGGAAGAAGGCCGGTATATTTAATAGGTAGGTTGTCAACGTAGGTTCTTCTTGTTACATAAGCAATGTGTCTTCAGTAGAACAGTAGGATAGTTCTATTCCTTAGCAGTTTTTGTGATGGTGGATACATGCTCTTGACTGCAAACGTCAATTCACAAAGTGTATCATGCAGTCTATAGAATAACATTACCTTCAGGTTGGGATTAACTGTGAATTTTGTGGAAGTGTCTATGGAGGTGTGCAGAATAAATAGCCATTTGTGGTGGTGATAAGGAGATGAAATTATTCCTGAAAATAAAAGCTTGCATGTAACACAATAACAATTCCACACCTATGCAATACCTCTCTATGTCAAAAGAACAAGTATAATATTACAGAATAAAATAGAATGGCGTCACCTTAATGATTTTAGCCTAAATTGTTTTTATTTTCAATTTTGTTTTATTTTTCAGTTATGATAGTTCACAATAGTACTATAAAAGGTATCTCTCTGAGGGTGCTTTCCATTTCTATGGAAACACGTATGTGAAACTCAGGCTGTTTCGTCCTTCTTCTTGGGATTTTAATGAAACTAATTAAATGATCAGTGTTACAAGCAAAGAACTTTACTAATTATTTGCCATGATTGAAATAGAAAAACAATGTACAGTATATAATGAGATGTATAGAGAGATCTATGGCAGCAGGAAGATTTAGAGGCAGGGATAAATAAATGTATGTAGATACTAATAGAAAAAAAAATCACACTGCTGTTATAATCAATGCTGTTATAAGACAAACAACTGTTATAATCAATGAATAGCTATGCCGAATAATCAGCAGTTACAACACTCACAACACTAGTGCTTGAATTAATAATAGTAGTGCTACAACAAGCTCATATTAAACGATAAGTTCATCCATATTCAGCTAAACATGTTATGTTCAGACCGGCCCCCTCTCCCTCCCATTGACCGCTAGTGGGGGATCTTCTCCCCTCTCGCTAGTTGTCAAATTTAAAAAAAATGTGGCTGTCTGAGGCTTTGCCCACTCGCCACGTCATTCATTTACAGTCATTTGTGAATGAGAGACTACAAGTCCCAACAGCCTTAGCGGCTGCCAGCTTTAGTCCTCAATGAACAACCATGGCGCTGCAAAGTGCCATGGTAGTTCGCTCATTCTTCAGTATATCTGCTTGCTCGTACATTCCGTAAAGCAAATCGATATACTGACAGATCTGCAGGAGACCTGGCGCAATGGTTTACAGGCTCCTGCAGACAAAAATAATAAATGCACATTTTTTTTTAGCTGCAAAAAATGTGCATTTATTATTTTTTTCTAAAAGGTGAACAAAAAGCACACAAAAGTTCATTAATGATCTTCAATAGCCCCAAAAGCCTGGATCCATCTTGCATAAACTCATTGCAGTGAAATACCAGTATAAACTAAATAAAAATATAAAACAATATACCAATATTTTTTTTAATTTAGTATATAACAGTAATAATCTGTTAAAGTATTACTAAACCTATAACAGTAGAATCAGTCTGTATATGCAGTAAAGCATGCTTGTTATACTCACTGTGGAACCTAAGGGGCTAATCCTCTGCATTGTATAAAAAGGATATTTGATCCTGTCTTAGCTGATCCTCCCCTTCTTCCACAGTCCCCAGTCCATCTGCCGATAAAACAGAGCCTTGGGGGCAAGCTGCACATTCTCAGTTTGGTGTGTATTGCTAGAGAATTGTTTTTTTTTTTTTTCTGGAGAGTGTATGTGATCAGCACAGGGCCAAATAGCATTGTCCAGACAGAGGGTCAGGGGCTATGCAGCCTCATAGGACAATCAGGGGAGAATGTTAACTTGTCCTACAAGATTTGAGCAGCACTTTGCTGGACACTGATAGAAGTCACAAGACTGCTCTAACTGCTGATGAGAAAAGGTATTTAGCAGTTTATATTTACTAAAAGTATTGCATTTCCATGTTCTTTGTACTGTGGGAGACCAGATATAATGAATGCAGGGTCCTGGGTTTAGTAACACTTGAACAGCACACAGCCTTTAGATTGATCTGCCCACCAGTTGAATTGTATGTGTGATTGTGAGGGATCCGGCAGAGAGCTGGGGACCTGATTAGCTGGAAGGACTGACAGGCTATAAATGAGATGCAAGCCTGGCACCCCGCTTCCTCTGTTGAAGTCAAATGACTTTACACACATCAGGCAGAGTGTATAGGAGCTCACACAGTGACACAGCAGTAGGATCATTCCCACAGCAGCCTGGCCCTACTGAAGTAAAGTCTGAACTGTCAGCCTGATCTCAGTGGAGATGTGAGCTGTGGGAAGAACCCCTGCTCCTTGGAGTCTTTGTAAACTGCAGTCTTTTTATTTATTTTTTATATATATATATATATATATATATATATATATATATATATATGCCAGTGCATTTTTAATAAATTGTGGTTTTTAAAATTTATATGGAAAGGAATATGGTCTGTTTTTTTTTTTTTTTTCCTCTGAATGACAACATTGTACCCTTTTCCTGGAGCTGGCTCTGACATAAAAGCAGATTTTCTGACTGATTGAAAGGCAAGCTGCTCTTTTTAACCTTTTATAATTCAAAGGTCCTACTAAGGAGGTGAGAGTTTGTCCAGTTGGTTCACGGTGGAGGATTGCACACTCTTCATTGTAATGAGTCTATGCAAGATGGATCCAGGCTTTTGTGGTTTTGAAGATCATTTATGAGCTTTTCTTTGTGGTTTTTGCACTTATGTGAGCACTTTGTGGCACTAGTGACTAATATTAATTCTTGCACTAGTTTAATGATTGTTTGTGTTGTAACTGTTGATTAAGCAGCATAGTTATTCATTGATTTTAACAGTTATTTGTTAGCTCAGTGCTATTTGTTCTTTTATTTTGTGAAAGTTTATCATAACTTTGAGCACTGCAGCTTGGTTTTGATTCACTACTACTACTGGTGGGTAAAGCATTTATTTCTTTGTTATAAATATATTGGAAATTGTTAGCTTTGTTAAAGTGTTCCTAAACCCACAACAGTAAAATTAGTCTGTATATGCAGTAAAGCATGCTTGTTATACTCAGTGTGGAACCTAAGGGGCTAATCCTATAAATTGTGTAAAAAGGCTATTTGATCCTGCCTTCTCTGATCCTTCCCTTCTTGCACTGTTCCCGATCCAGCTGCTGATAGTACAGAGCCCTAAGAGGCACTCTGCACATGCTCAATGTGGTGTGCATTGCTAGAGAGTTGTTTGTTTTTTCTTTGGGGGGGTGCATGTCACACACGGCCAATCAGCACTGTCCAGACAGAGGGTCAAGGGTTATGCAGCTTCATAGGACAGTCAGAGGAGAATGAAAGCTCCTCCTACAAGCTTTAACCAGTGCTCGGCTGGACACAAGACTGCTATATGCTGCTGATGAGAAAAGGTATTTAGCAGTTTATATTTACTAAAATATTTGCATTTCCATGTTCTGTGTACTGTTAAAGACCAGATAAAGTGAATGATGGGTCATGGGTTTAGTAACACAAAATTGTTTCAGCATATATTTGGCATCTATAATACCATACTTTTTTAGGTATTTAAAAGCTATTTTCTGTATTGTATTCTATCAGTTCTGTAATTTATATAGCCATCATTTTCTATGATTTTAGGTCTCTTATTTGATGTCATCTTTGGCTACCTAACAGCTTTGGCTCCAAGCTATGGCCTTTTTGCTGCATCACGATTATTTGTTGGGATAATGAATGGTGGAATGGCCTTGGTCTCTTTTGTATTAACACAAGAGTATGTCGGGAAATCATACTGGGCATTAACTGGTAAGTTCATGTAGAGTCACATTATTAAAATTCTATGTAAATCAAAACTGTGCTGTACAAAAAAAAATTGCCTCCCACTAATTAAAAGCCAAGTTGACCTTTTTAGTAAAAAAAAAAAAAAAGAAAAATAATGCACATCATTTTGCAGGTAAAAACGTGCATTTATTATATTTTGGAGCCTCAATGGATCACGGGTGCAATGCCAGGCTCTTGTAGACACTACTGGCAGCTATCTGCCCATACCTCCATACTGACAGACCGTTACTGAGCTGTAGGAAGTGTCAGTGAACTGTGAGGGCATTGATCAGTTAATTGAGAACTACCAGCTGCTTGCCGCAGTGGTAGACAGGACTTTTAGTCCGTTAATTTAATGATCTCTGTGATTGAATGACATGGCTGTGCAGGCTGAGCCCCACACAGTTGCGCAGTTTTTAAAACGTGAGAGTGGGTTTGGAGGAGTGGAACTGTGGGGGGGGGGTATGGGTAATAAACTCACCCATACATGTCATAAAACATAGACGTGCAGCGCTGATAGTAAACGGATAATATACAGAACAAGTCAAATATAGTATTCGCAATACGTCATATAAATTGTGCTCTGTGGCGATAAAATGGATAATGGTAAAATTATAACATAAAAGCAGCATCAGCAATCAAACATATAAATTTGCGCTCTATAGCGTTGAAAATAATGACGTGAAAACGTCCAGACTTGACGTCATAAGGTGCATATAGTGATGAGAAGAAAATCAAAAGTTCAAAAGTAGTACAATGGTGAAAATCCGTGACCATGGTGTCTAAAAGGATGAGTGTAGATTGCACTAACCAGAAAGCTCAAATTAATGCGCATTTGAGTAAATCAAGACCAACTCCTGGTCATCAGCATCTGGAAACTGGAACAATGGGGGTCATCTGGCAAGTGTCAGCTAGGCAGGTAGCACACCATCAGGATATCCAGGCACCAGAGATACTCTCCCAACAGCAGAGGGAACCAAACATGCAGGTAATGCAGGGTCACCAGGATTCGCCCTGGGGGAAGCCAAAGAGAAAAAATTCCAATAGTGTAGTACCTTTATTAGAATGCAGGGGTTATAGCAAAGCAAAAAAACACACTCACAGACTGGTGAATGACAGAAACCAAAATGGCCACCGGCCATCCACGTGGGCCGTGTGGAGTGACGTCACAAGGTAGGGCACCTCTCTTGCGCGTTTTGTGCCTGTGCACGTTCTCAAAGGGCGGCCATTTTGGTTTCTGTCATTCACCAGCTTTAGAAATAGTTTTCAAAATAGGGTTTATTAAAAAAAGAAAAAAATGGTGCAATTAAAATATTTACAGAAAAGGATGTTACAAAGAAATAAAAAGAACAATAAAGCAACAGAGAAATAAAAGAAATTGGTTAAGAAGGCAGAATACTTGCAAAGTCCTTGGATTTAGCAGAGTCCAAGTGTCTGAGCAAAAATGTTGCCTTGGTTCTCAAGTCCGTTAAGATGTTTCTTGGTTGATCTTGAATGAGAGCTCCCTCTTCACAAGTCCTGTCAGTCACTTTCTATGATATAAAGGGAGTGTGGACAGAGACCAACTGACAGATAATCCAGTTTAAGGGATGGGTGCTAGGAGGTTACCAAATTTACTACCCAACTACAGTTTTACACTAATAATAATAACCTCTAATACATGCATACATAAGGTGTAGAAAGATGGCGTCCATGTCGGAAGTGCGTCGCTGCGTGCTGGTCTACGCGTTATGTCACGTTAACCACGTGACTTCCTCAGGGACTTATATTCACTATTGTATATGTTTTTTTCTTTGATTTGCATTTGATATCTGTATAGATATATCACCTGATACGTGACCATTATATTATATTTTTTGCATTTTTTATATGCACATTTGTTTTTAATTTTCATGTTTATGCGTTTATTTTGCAGCTGAGTCCAATTTTCTGTGGACTTAACACCTTTAAGTCCCTAGTTGGACTATTATTCACCATCACTATTCTATCCTGCTTAGGATTTATTCACTTTTTCTACTTATTGTATATATGGTTTCACATATTGTTTATTGTCATTTGTGTGGTTGTGTGTTTTTCACTTCTTTACTCACTTGTGGATCCGATTAGGATCATATCACGATCAAGATATTTGGTAAAGACCCCATGAGGATCTTATCACATGGTTTTTTGTTTGCACATTATGTCACTGTATATATTGTCTCCACTTTTTTGATTATACCAGTTTAATATGTAACTTATGGATTGTGAGTAGCGCAACATCATTTTGTTCTTATTGCATTTATTTGATCATTGGTATATGATTAGATGTTAGTAGCTTCTCTGTGAGTGTTTGCACTATATCATTAGTTAAAGCGCAGGAGGTTCACACCATTAGTCCTTACAATTAAATTCATGGTTTTTTTATATTATTTTTTGCATGTGCTATTGTTGTTTTTTATATTTAATTATTAACAGTTACAAGATATGTTTTTTTTCTGTAATTTGTCTCTGAAACACTTTTACTCTAATTAGTTATAGATGTGTTATAATCAGGCATGAAAACCTACATTTAATTTTTAATCATACTATTTATTGGAATCAACTATTTTTCTGCTTTGCACTGACTTTTGAAAACCTTATATGCTTTGAATATTGTCTCTGTAATGGTAGCTTAATGCGTTTGATACTCTTCATATTACTAAGTGAATATTTTAAATTGGTTCTTGATTAGCTTTGCTTTGTTTTTTATTTGATTGGTAACAGCCTAAAATGAATCTTTTGTGTGAGTCAAGATTGGTGTATTATAGAGCAGATTGACGCATCTTTGCTTCGCTTTGTTACAGATTTCTTACTTTCCTTGACTTCCATTGACTTCAATATTAAGCTCCACTAACTGCCATATCTCTGTCCAGTAACAATAGTAACAATGGATTTACTAGCCACTAGGGCACTTCAGTCTCACTAAATTATTAAGTGAAAGGTAACATGGCTTTAGCATGAGGTCAGAGAGCAAAAACGAAACTAAATCAGAGAGGCTTTTCACTTTAAAAATGCTTATAGCGGGCATTTTGTGATGTGTGCCCTTGGCAAGAATTATGCACTTATTTTAATGCAAAAGGTAGTTTTTATACCTTGCACCTGCTCATGGTGTTTGTCTCTTTCTGCCTATTTTCTCTTTATGTTGCCACTTTATGTTGTGTTTTGGTTTGTGGATGGAAAGGATAGAGTAAACTAGCAGATTAAGGTAATATGTTTGTTTTGGATAGCCTGTTTGTAAATAATTAAACACAACAAACATCATGATTACTGTGATGTTGACCCCTGTGGAATAAAAGTTAAAGCATGTCCCTTGTTCTGGTGGCTGCTGTGTCCGGTGAGATCTTCATTCCTAAAGAAACCCAAGCATCAGACTGGAAAATCTCCTACTTCTGAGGCTAAGTAAAGTTATTTTTTTTTTTCTCACAGTCCTTTTAAGTCCAAGTCCAAAATTTTGGACTCCTAAAACCTTCCAAACCTGTGAGGCAGCCATCCACAGTATGAGGGGGTGCCCACTTCTCAAAGTGAGGGGACATCTGTTAACATTTGTGATCACCTGTACCAAAAGCATTCCAGCTGCATGGGTCATAGATGTAGTATCCAGGGGCTTCAAGCTGGAGTTTCACTCTATGCCCTGGCAGGATTCATGTTGTTGAATTTGCCAACACATTTGCACCACCTTGGCTCAACTCTATTCTTAGGAAGTTATTGCCAAGTATCAAGGTTTTTACAAACCCCTTCACAGTTCTCAATGTAACATCATTCTGGATCTAAGCATTCATTGACTTTATTCACATGCACAAATTCTGCATGGAATCTACCAGGTTATTTATAGGTTTCCTGTAGCTGTGGGGATTTTCTGTTTCTCTGTGGACATCAAGAATGCCTACTTGTATGTCCCCATATTTCCAGTGCATCAATACTACCTGTATTTTGCTGTGGGCATGCAACACCTTCCCTTCCCTTTGGTCTGTCCTCTGCATCTTGAATATTTACCAAGATGCTAGCCACTGTGTAGACTTCTGTTTTCACAGGGCACCCCCATTGTGCAATATCTGAATGACCTATTGCTGTGAGAACAGTCAGCTCAGCCTCTGTTGGCCAATGACTGAAAGAGACTCTAGAGAACATCCAAAAGTTAGTGTAACAGCTGACATATTGCTTAGAGCTTCTTGGTCTTCTCCTAGATACAGCTAAGTCCACAGTTTTCTTTCCACAAGTCAAAACACTTACATTACCTTCCTAAGTTCAGACTTTGCAGCTCAGGATCTGTCCAACCCTTCCATATCTGCGTGGGGGTTCTGGGCTTGGAGGTAGCCTTCTTCGAGTCAGTCTCATATGCTCATTTCTGCTCCTATATGTACCTACCTACCAGAAGATACTCAGCGGGACGCATCTTGACCATCTCGAATACAGTTTGGAGTAACATTTGGCCCTGAGTAATCTCAAGGGTCAGATCTTGGCTCTAGTAACTCCCTTTCAAAAAATGTTTATACCTATTGTACAAGGTGTTGCTCATAGTCCCCCCTGTATGTCTACTGGTAACTTCATTGAATCTTGACCTGGTTCTGAGTATCTTCAAAATTGCCCTTGAACCTATCAGAGATATTTTCAACCACCCACCTTCCTTGTTGCTATTAGCTCTGGAAGGTAAGCTTCTGAGTCAGTGACTCTCTTGTAGAGCACCCTTTCTTGTCCTACACAAATAAAATTGTCTTGAGGCCTAGGGCCTCTTCCTAAGGTGTTCTATTACTTTAACCTTAACAAGTGTTTTTTCTTTTTTTTGGCTGACTGTTTCCATTGTTCCTAATCATTCATCAGCCTCCCTCTTGTTCCACCATTACCAAGTGGTTTAGCCAGCTCATTATTCATGTTTATGGGTTTAACAAAAAGGTTCTGCCTTTTCCTGTCAAGGCACACTTCACTAGATCAATAAGTCCTCTCTTGGGATTTCGAGCAGCAAGCATCTATTTCCCAGAGTTGACAGGCTGCCCACCTGGTCTTACGTTCACATGTCTTACCAGGTGGACATTCAGGCCTCAGCTGATGCAGGATTTGGACATAATGTCCTTAAGACTGCTCTTTGAGCTGTATGTGGCCCCAATTTACCTTGTTGTGGGCATGTTGTCATTCTGTTGTGTTGCCTACCTCTCAGTTTGATTGCTTTTAGGTGTCCTATTTGTATCATCATTACTTCTTCCCTGTGTCCTTAAAGAACAATTAAGAAAACAGTATTTTTGACTTGGTGTGTATAACCTTTTTCCTGGAGTTCATTAAGGGACACAAGTCCCACTCTATCTTTCTTTTGATCATTCCCAGTACTGGGTTTGCATAACATAGAAGCATGATGGACGCTATTCGGGCCAATGGCTTCGTAGGCTTCATAACAGCACCTATAGGCAGCATTATAACCCATACATTTCAGAATTATTTCTAACCTGTGTTCCTTAATGAGCTCCAAGAGAAGGTTTTAACGGTAAGTCATAACCCTGTTGTATTTGGATAGAGTGGGAAAGGCTTGGAGTCATTTTTTTGTGATTTCCTCTTGTATCCTGACCCAGAGGCATAAGAGGAAATAAGGGAATGTCCTACCGATATAGATGTACTAATTTGGAGATTTCTCCTAACATCTTGTTCTGTGACAAATGTCATAATTTAGATTTCTGTTTACTTTCTATCTGTGTGGAAACTTATCTCTTCTTGTAGCAAGGGTAAATGTGACACATTCTAAACCTTCCATGTTCTGTTCATAACTAGAAAAATAGATTGTAGATCTACTCACATCATTTTCAATTTTGGGTGGAATACATTTTTTGTTTGAAAAGATTCAAGTTAGTGATATGTGAATTATTGGCATATAATGCAATGTACAGGTATTTATAGTATGTTTCACAGTTGTGTTTCTCTCTTCTAGGTTCCTTAACTAATCTCACTTTTGCTGTTGGCATAGCGATATATGCCTTGTTGGGCTATTACATTCGCGACTGGAGAACGCTTGCATTTGTGGCCAACACGCCGGGTGTTTTCTTTTTCCTCCTTTCTTTGTAAGTTATATTATTAAATGCTTTCATTTTACAATGTTAATGGAGTTGATAAGTCTTATGTCCATCAAGTTTGATCTCTGATGGCCCTGGCAGTTTTGTTTTAAAGGAGAGCGTACAAAATTCCAAAACCAACTGTTGCCAATATTGCTAAACAGGAGAAAAACATTTTCAGGTAGTCTAATCAGTTACTTGGGATGAAAATATTCTTTTGCTAGCTTTTAGTGGCTACACCTTTTAGATATTTGTTGTAAAAAAATGCCATTTTTGGTTTTGCAGAGCTTAAAGTGGTTGTAAACATTTATAAAACCAGTGAAGTGACTGGCCTCAGGTGATACACATAGATGAAAACAAATCCTTCTACATAAGTTGTACCTGTTTATCTGTAGTATTCTCTACATCCATTTCAATTCCATAATTTATAAAGCTTGCCTGATCTTTCAGAAAACGGGATGAGAAGCTAAAATAAAACACCGCTGTGCTCAATGAGCAGAGCTCTGAGTGCTGACTGGTGTGAAGGGTCACAACTCCCTTCACACAGCAAATAGGAACAGAGCTAAGGCTGTAAATCACAGGCTGTGTGCTGGAGGTCCCTCTCCTCTCACCTTTTTTTCTCTTGGTGTCAGGGAAACTTGTTAGAAGTGACTCATGCTGATAGCAGAGGATGAGACAAGCTGCAGCATCCCTTTCTTCCCCGTCCGAGGGACACAGCCATCACAGGATCCGTGGCCCCACGTTCTGACGAGTCAAAGGGGTACGTCTACTCAGAACGGGGAAGTTCCCACCCAGCCATTTCTGTGCAGTAGCTGGGTAGAAGCTGTTCAGAACTAAACCCATCAATTTAACAGTTTCAAAAAACAGTTACGTTCTTGACACATGCCGGGCATGTAACTGTCATATTTGCTTGTTCTGTTAACCAAACTGTCAATCCATAAAATGGCTGGTGTCATAACTGATCACATGTGCAGCATCATAGCAGTTGAAGTTCAAGCAGAGGCTAAGATGGCAGCTTCCTTGGCTGAAAATTATATGAGGGTTTGGTTCACTTTTAACTGATGGTAAAATCTTTTTATTTCTTTATACAGTATTTAAAGCCCAGTTGGAGTCATACACTTTTTTTTTTTTATCTGTTTATAGTCCTGTATCGCTCTCTGTATGCTTTCATTTTTAACTGAAATGCTTTAAAGCAGACATTGCTAAATAGTGGACCACAGCCCAGATCCAGACTGAGTCACTGTCCTATCTGGTTTTTTCCTCCGAGTCATCATCGCTTTCATTCTCACAGCAGAGCCAACAGAGGGAGGCAGGATAGTTCTGGACAGAAGGCAGAAGCTGCCCGAATAAAATTAACTAGCGGTTGATTGGTTGCTAGGATGCAGGGTGGTCCTAGCAACCAATCATCAGGTTGCTAATATGAAAAATTAACTTGGTCATCTCCCGCACTTCATTCATACGTGTTGTACCTCCCACCCTCTTACCTATGCACCTTTGCAAGGTAGGAGAGTGAAAGTGGTTATGCCACTGCTATGAAGGAAAGGAAGGGAGAGGGTGTGGTTAGAATGTGATGTGAAGGGGGGCTGAGGACACTACTGTGAAGGGGTGGGGGAGGGGGGATATGAAGGATGGGTTGAGAACACTACTGTGAAGGGGGTGGGGGTGGAGGGGTGGGTGATGTGAAGGGGGGCTGAGGACACTAGTGTGAAGGATAGGGGATCATGTAAAGTGGTGCTGAGGACACTGTTGTGAAGGAGGGGGATGAGGGCAACGGTTATGTGAAGGAGGGTGAGAACGCTATTGAGTGGTGGATGGGGGGGGGGGGAGGGTATGTGAAGCTGGGTCGAAGACACTACTGTGAAGGGGGGGGGCTAGGTGTGATGTGAAGTGGGAGATTGTGATGTAAAGGGGGGGACTAGGAACATCGATGTAAGAAGGGGGTTTGTTTTGGAAGACGGGGGAGGCCCAGATGTGAAGGATCTGAGTCGTTACACAAACATTCGATTTGGACCTCTGATGGAAGTAATTACTACCGATCAGACCTCTGTAAACTTTAATTCAATACCCCTGCAATAAAGTATATCTACAGAAGAGAGTATGAGGATTAGAACTCCTGACAGGTTTTACTGCTGTTTCTTTACATCTAAACAAACAGAAGTAAAAATGCTATTTTATGTTACATAGAACTCCTGTTCACATTTTATTGATATCTGATTCTTTCTTTCAGATTTCCCCCAACTTCCTGTATGGTAAAAGGTTTTCCCCAGAACAGCAAGTGAAAGTAAATATCTCTAGGGGTTTCCTAAAGGTTTCTAACCAGTCCCCATTCTATCCCAAACTAAAAAAAATAAGTTTGGGTACAGATACATTTTAAACACGCCCCATTTAGGTGTGAAGCTGCGTTATAGAAATGAACGGTTTTAGGTAGTTATTTATATAAAATAAATGTCTCTGTGAAGCTAACCTTAGATTTAAGTATTTAAATTGAACTCCCCCCCCTTCCTCTGGGGTCCACTCATACAGTGGTCCTATAGCGCAAGCACAAGATGAAATGCATGCCTTCATGTGGCTCATCATGTGCAGGCGCCATTACATCTAAAATGATATACTTAAGAAAAAAAAAAAAAAAGTTGGCAGAAGTGCAGGAGTAGACTGGCAGATGACACGCTGGCAGAGGTGTAGGAGTAGAGTGGCAGATGACACGCTGGCAGAGGTGTAGGAGTAGACTGGCAGGTGACACGCTGGCAGAGGTGTAGGAGCAGACTGGCAGATGACACGCTAGCAAGGGTGCAGGAGCAGCTGGCAGAAGTGCAGGAGCTGGATACCAGTAAGGATCAGCTGGTTCGGGTGCAGGAGTCAAGAGTAAGGCAAGGTCAAACAGTCCGGGTTGGCAACTAACAGGCAGGGCAAGCATAAACAGTAGGCAGAAGAATAGTCAAACGGCAGGCCAGAGGTCAGTACAGGCAGCATTCAGGCTGGATCAATAACAGATCAGATCGGCAACAGAGTATTAGGGAATAGGATGCACGGGTGCTTAAACATAATAGACCAAACGGCACTAATGCAAGGCACTAGATCAGCTTAAATAACCCGCCTGGCTCCAATACGCACATGCATTTGCTAATTGGCCGTGAGCAGGGCTTAGGAGGGTTTTGCACCTGCGCATAGATATGTGCATTCCCTGACATTGATGAAGCCTGTGAATTATATAGAAGGGAATACGCAGAGAAAAACAAGATAGAAAGTTCCAAAGAGGAAATGAACAGTGGTGTGAGTAAGCTCAGCAGAACAGACAATGAAACCTACCAGGTAGTTTTCTGTACCAGATACAGTCAGAAGGCATTTGATATCAAGAAAGTCATCCACGAGTATTGGGGTGGTCTTGAACAGGATCCTTTGTTGTCTGGTATTATTCCCAACTGCCTAAATGTTATCTTTTACAAATCCGTGGATTTTAGAAGCTTCATTACCCCCAGTAGGGTGAAAGATTATGCCCACACTGGAGTTCCATCTTTGATCAGATAGAGAGCTACAGATATGGAGTCCATAACTGTGGGTCATGCAGCTTCATGTGGCATAGAAATGAAGAGTCCGCAGGGGCTGATGGGAAAATGTATCCGATCAAACTGTTTATTACCTGTTCGACACAGTTTGTCTTCTACTGTTTATAATGTATAGCGTAAGCACACCACATAGCCAATATGCTTTAGGCATATGCAATACATACAATCACCTAGCAGGTACAGAAAACCAAGTATGTCATCTAACATCAAGCATAATACAAAAAGATGTATACTTAATTGTTGAATAATAACAATAATTGCATATAGGTGCAATGAGCTTAAAATGTATAAGCACTGATGTTCAGAAATACATACAGGAATGCAATACCCAGAATAGAGTAAAAAAGGAAAGCTGAGCCAGATACTCTTTTCACCAGTGCACGCTAGGCATTTGCGCCCTTCTGTGTATTCTGGGTGACAGCTTGTGATTGAAGAACCTCCTCCAAATCTCTTTACAGTCTGAACAAAGTGGAACTATTGCCAGTCAATTTTAAAAAAAAAAAAAAAAAAATATTTGCTTGGAATCCTATATTTGTATGAGGCTTGAAAAACATGTTGTTGCTATTAATTATTTTAATTCTATCTTGAAAGATATGTTGTGACTGGCACAGCACCAATCAGCGCTGTGCAGACACAGATTCATACATCAGCAGAGTACTAGAAACTCCTCCCTCAGAACTTTCCCTGAGGACAGGAAAGACATCATGTGACTGCTGAACAGTGATGATTAAATAAGGTATTCAGATTTGTTTTTTATCTTAAACTAAATACAGTAGCATGATCATTATGCATAAATAGAAGGGATAATGGCAGTTAAACATTGTATGTTTGGTATCACTTAAAGGATCCATGCACACTAGCTTAAAAAAGGCTCCTAGCAGCAGCTTTTGAGGATGTTTTTGTGCCTTTAGATGCAAATAATGTTATCCTATGTGTCCATGCACACTATTTTAGTCTAGAGGCATATTTTAAGCTTCAGCGTTTTGGGAGTGATTTGCTGGCAGAAAAAAACAAGGGCCTCTTCCCCACAACCCTGGGTGGTGGTTGCGGGAGGCAGGCCTGGACTGGGACAAAAAATAGGCCCGGGCATTTTAGACTGAACAGCTAATTTTGGCGGGGGGGGGTGTGTTTGCAAGGGCATTCGCGGGGGCAGTTGGTGATGGAATATTCACGGAGTCGGTGCTCCGCATTGTAATACAAAGGGGATTGCACTGTACAGGGGCACTGTATTGATTATAGTGCCTCTTTACAGCACAGTTCCCTTTATATCACAGTGCCCCTAGAAATCTAATCACAGTGCTCCCTATATATTCAAAGAGATGGCCCAATCTAGCAAAGAGACATCCCCATCCAGCAAAGAGACATCCCAATCCACAAAGAGACGGGATATCTCTTTTTTGGATTGGGATGTCTCTTTGCTGGACCCAACTGGGTAAAGAGACAGCC